AATTCTTTATTTTATTTTATTAAAAATACTTCACTAAGAAATATGACTTTTTGTATGTGAAAAACTTGTAATATTAACTGAAAGACTGCCAAATTTCGTGAAAATATACCCAATATATAGAGAGTTATAAGTATTAAATTTATATGAACTTTAAACGAGTACAAAAGGACACGTGACTCGGTCAAATTGACCGACCCCGTGTTGGGAGAGTTAACCAAGCTGAATATTGATATGTTTTCTTACTATATTTTAATAACGTAGTTTTCATAGTTTCTTAACGATATTTATTTTGTTGATGCATTTAGTGAAAAATATTCGTCAAGGATAACTTCAAAAACTATGTTAAACTTCTGTTAAACCTGTCTCGAATGTGTCAATAAAGTACCAAAACAATTCGTAAAATTACGTCAGAGTTTGCTGACTAATCGCGGTCCACACTTTGGAGCCGTGGGTGCGTTATAAGAGTAACCGTCAAATCCTACCATTAGAGTAGCCCACGAGTTGACGGTGAGTGGTGTTGACTAACTACATTCTCTCTAGTTTCTCACTTCTAAATTAGGGACGGCATCTCAACAGATAGCCTTCGAGTAACTTTGCATTAAGCTTGTTTCAAGAATCGTCTGAATCTTTACTCAATGAAACGTATTGTAGAATACCTATGTTCGTTCGAACACCGGTAAGTTATCACTACATAACAACCCCCCCCCCCTTTTAGGTTATTTTACAATCTGTTGCCATTATAACACTGTCACTTCCAAGAAAAAATGCAAGAAGACGTTGAATGAGAAAATAGATAAAATATTATTACAGATCAGTAATTTTTGAAGTACGCACTCTGACTGGCTACTCTATTAGAAGTTCCACTTAAGATAGGAATGCCTTTCGCCGCGATAATCGTTTTCTCATGATTTATCATACGATCTACAAGACGTTGGATGTGTCTTGTTCGACTGTAGTTCTTTCATCGAGATCTGTGGTCTGTCGTTCTAAAAGAACCCATGCCTAATACGATGAAAATGAGCATTGAGACATGAATAATGATAGCTAACAATGTTCAGGCACTATTTGAGTATTATATATATTTCTAAAGAAATTTAATGCACACAACCTGTAAACGAGATTGTTCCCAATATTCACAGTTGCATTGTTAGAAGAAAGCAAGCAGGAAAAATCCCTCAGGTCATTTTCTCCATACTTTCACCCTATCTCATTAAAGAAAAGGGTGAAACTTGACTTACCAGCCTACATCACTCCCATGGAAGTTGTGACTAGAGGATTTTAATGCATTGTTAGAAGAAAGCAAGCAGGAAATATCCCTCAGGTCATTTTCTCCATACTTTCACCCTATCTCATTAAAGAAAAGGGTGAAACTTGACTTACCAGCCTACATCACTCCCATTGGTAGTTGTGATTAGAGGATTTTGGATTAGTGTTAGATGTTAATTGCATCCTGAAAGAACCAAACAACTGGGACACAGATTGATGACGAGGAACCCAGTTTGAGACTAATAATGGTTGGAGACGGCTTGAATGGGTAATGAAGAAAAACTACTATAAGTTTAACATAACAGCAAATGTACAACGTTTC